GCCCTGACGGTTACGACCTTGGAGGCGCCGGTCTCACGCCTCCCTGGGCCGAGGGCGGCCGCGGCAAGTACGCTGGCAAGGCGGCTCTCGTGATCAGCGGCTCTGGTTCTGTCGGACAGTTTGGTGCGACTTCTAGTTTTTGAGTCTCTCTCGAGACTGACGTCTGCCTTAGCGTTGCAGCTCCTCAAAGCCTCGGGCTTTAGCCCGCTCATCGCCACCGCGGCGAAGCAGAACGAAGAATACTGTAAGGCTGCGGGCGCCACGCACGTCATCGACCACAAGGAGGTGCCCTACGCCGATCTTCCTGCGGCCGTCAAGAAGATTGTCGGCGAGACGCCCATCGCCTTCGTCTATGACGCTTGGGCGAAGGGAGAGTCCCAGAAGGCTGGCTTCTCGCTTCTCGCTCCCGGTGGTGCGATGGCTACAGCGATGAAGGCGGAGGTCGGACTGCGCGCTAAGGACGACGAGCTCGGTCGCCGCGTCGTGAGCCCGTACGGAGGCACGAACGAGGAGAACCATCTCGACTTCTCGGCCGAGATGTACGCGCATCTTACGGAGATGCTTGAGAAGGGCGAACTGAAGGTATACCTATTGCATCTGAAGGTCATACATTGTGCTCATGAACCTTCAGCCGAACAACGTCAAGCTTCTGGAGGGCGGTTTCGAAGCCATCCCGGCTGGGTGCGACGAACTACTCAAGGGCGTTAGTGGCGTGAAGCTGGTAGCACGCGTGGACTAGTGTATTGGAGTGCAGCAAGACATTGGCTCTTTCGCATGGTATTATGTCAGCGTTCTGGCGTCTAGGTAGGTTGTACGATAGGCGAACGATGTTCTTGTACTTCTCTGATGTCGTGGAGATGTGATCGCATTTGTTCATTGAATTATTCCGTGTGGCAATTGTATCTGGCAGACATGCCGGCCCGCCACGAATGACGAGTGCGTATGATGTAGAGGCGATCAGGAAGAAGGAACAGTACTGCATATGACTGTGCACTGTCGATTGTCTGCAAGACTCGACGTGAGCACGGCTCTTTCACAGCAATCGCGAGGTACATTATGGATCATCAGCGCAGAGTACCGTTACAGTGAAACCACGCCTCTGTTGATTTCTTGATGGTCGTAGTCGGGGTTAACGTTCGAGCTACGTCGGACAGCATCGAACGCTGGTGAGTTCGGCGCTCGTGTCCGACGCACCACGCGCTCGGGCCGATGCTTGTGGAAGCGCGCGCTTCTTTCCTTAGCCCACCACCGACCTATACGAAATCGTGAATACAACTTTCCAACAGACGAACATATTCCTGCTCTACTATTAGCCGTGCTTGTCACTCTAGACCTCATGGCTCGATCAGAGACTTGTCTCTGTTGGACGCCCGTCATTCGCACACGGCATTCCCGTCTCGCGGGTTCTCCGTGAACGTGAAACGATGTCCGTAGCTCGCCAGCCTTTCCCTGCCTGCAGACGGTTGAATACCCGGGCGTACAGCGCCAAAACCTATCCGTCTTACTCAGAGCGACCGACTCCTTATGCGCTCAACGGGGCTATAAGAGCATACCTAGGAGCTCGCTGCCAGGCTCAACACAGCGGAACAGCGCCTCCTTTCCCCCACCAGAAAGCCATTAGATCCAAATTACCCCGACTACCTGCAATACTACCCAACCACCTCGCAGATCGACATGGCACATCAACATAAAGCTCTCCTTATCCACTCCAAGGGCGGACGCTTGGAGCTCGGCCTTAGGGACACACCTACTCTGAGCGCAGGCCAGGTCCTCATCCGCAATATATGTGTGGGACTTGCTCCTATAGATGCTTACATTCAGGCTCGGGGTGCGGCTCACTACTATCATTCACCGTGCTATACTGAGCCCTCTTCAGGTTTCTTCATCGAGGACAGACTCCCGGCTGTCATTGGTTTCGACGGGGCTGGCGAAGTGCATACGCTAGGTCCAAATGTCGAGGGATGGAAGGTTGGCGACAAAGTGTACGCACAATTGATATATTCGCTGCTTCCCTCCCCTGATTCAGTACATATAGACTCTACCAAGGCCATATGACGAATGACGGCGCAACATTCCAAGAGTACACTGTCGCTGATGCTGTCCGTGTAGCAAAGGTTCGTCTGTCTTGGCATGTGTTTGCAAACGCCAGATCTGACCGATGTAAAGATCCCCAGCAATATGACGTTCGAACAGGCTGCCTCAATCCCGATCAACCTAGCCACTGCAGCCATCGGCATCTACGCGGAGAAGAGGGATACTCTGCGCCCCGACGGGTTCGATCTTGGAGGTGCCGGTCTCACACCGCCATGGGCCGCCGGAGGACGCGGCAAGTATGCGGGCAAAGCAGCGCTCGTCATCAGCGGTTCCAGTTCCGTAGGACAGTATGGTGCGTTACCCGATCTTGAAGACGTTCTTCGCGCATTGCGCTAACCGAATTGCATCAAGCGTTGCAACTTCTCAAGGCATCGGGCTTCAGTCCGCTCATTGCGACCGCGTCAAAGACAAACGAAGAGTACTGCAAGGCTGCAGGCGCAACCCACGTCATCGACCACAAGGGAGTGCCCTTCTCGGATCTCCCCGCAGCAGTCAAACGGATCATTGGCGATACTTCGCTCAGCTTCATCTACGATGCGTGGGCTCGTGGTGGCTCGCAACAGGCAGCCTTCTCGTTAGTCCCTTCGGGCGGAGCGCTATGCACTGCAATGCCGGCGGAGGTTGGAGAACGCGCGAAGGACGACGCGCAAGGTCGTCGCGTCGTGTGTCCCTACGGGAGCGTGAATGCAGAGCATCATCACGACTTTGGAGCTGAGATGTATGCTCACTTGACCGAGATGCTCGAGAAGGGCGAGCTTAAGGTGCGCGTCTTGGCACGCCTTCGATGACATCCTGAGTACTTATTCGCAAATAGCCCAATAACATCAAGCTCCTAGACGGTGGATTCGAGGCTATCCCCGCGGGATGCGATGAGTTGCTCAAGGGAGTAAGCGCTGTCAAGATAGTTGCTCGTGTTGCTGAGTAGGCCTGTTCTTTGACAACGTCAAAGTAGGCGGCGCGGTCCGCATGGACAGCATCCTCGTAGTTTGTATACATGGTGGATACAGGACACTGAGTCATATAGGTTGAGATAGATCTTAAGTAGGCTGTATCGTGCATGGACCGTAGGATGTTACATATACAATGAAGGCACTTATGTCGTAGTTGCAGTGAAGACTATTCTATTTCCGCCTAATGCTGCATCCATACAGTGGGCAGCGGCTGCAGTGCCGGTGCTATCGATGATTTCAGCAAGTGCAAGAACCGAACTCGCATCTTCACTCACACACTATACTTGGGCCTCGTCGTAGCGTCGCAGCTGTAGCTCGAACACCTCTACAAACTGCCTCAGCTGGCCAAGCGCGCAATGCCACCTGGTGTGACTTGCGTCTGAGGTCTCATACATCTATTCACGACAATGAGCCCGTAGAGATCGAGGCGTCAACTTCATAAGATACTCACTCGCCTCAATGTACGTATAAGTGGGTTGATGTCGTTCTGTAGTGTCTGTTGACAGTAAGCGCCGAACTCGGAGATCTGGGCCCTCAATATCCGCCTTTCCGCCATCCAAGCGTCGTGTGCGGCCACCCAAACGCGTTGCTGCGCCGTACAGCGAGTGGGAGTTTGGCAGTTGAAGCACGCATAGCTTTCGAAGAGAGCCAGCCAGACGTGGGCGTTCCGAGAATCGTTCAGATTGATGTGCGCGAGCTCGTTCCGGATGCGGTCGTTCTCAGCAGCAAGACATGTGAGCTCCGCGAGAAGACATGTTCGTGTGTCGTCAAGGGCTGTATATTCGTCCTTCATTGCAAGGTACCTCGTGAAGATCTCCATATAGCGATGTTGTTCGGATTGTAGCTGATCCAAGGTATATTCAAGCTTCTCGAATAGCGCGTCGGGGTTCTCTGAGCATGTCGAGGATACGGCAACGTCCTGGAGTAACGGCGGGCAACAGAGACTATCCATGGTTTGTGCACTCGATAGAGATCCTTAGAATGAGAGAGCGCAGGCCGGCTGCAGGGTGACGCGGAGTGATGGGGGCGGTGGACAAGAGACTACCGACAACGTTTGCATGCTGATTCTCAACAGTTGGTGGCGATGTGTGGTTGCGGGCCAGGCGTGTCACGACTCTGTCATCCAGCGGCTTTGAATACATTCAGAGAATATCATACGCGACAACGTCGAGTCAGCGGTGAGGCATGGCCGCAGCCCGTACGTCCCTTAGATACGAATATTGCCTTTGGCGGGCTTCACGACAATGGAAGACACAGTGCGGGATAATGGTCCCGCTCTCGAAGGTCCCGCTTGGTTAAGGGTGACGCCGAGCAATGGCTTTGACAGTGGAGAGGGATTGGGTAGGGGCGCATGGGCACATGGATCATTGGACGTCGACGTTGAAAACAAGTTGCGAACGGGATCAGCGCGTTGCGGTCAGCTCAGCGCTCAGCCCTCAGCGCGATCTCAGCTCTCACCACCACCATCTCCCCTCTTTGACTCTTTCAGAGGCCCTATTTCCCGCTTCCTCATCTGCAGATACCTACGCTACACTATACGCTAGCTCGAAATATATAACCCTTGCAAAACGTCTTTCGTGATGGCCAGTTCCCCCGCTTCTTCTCTCGCCGTCTTCGGCCCGGCCCTTCCGAGACTACCTTCACCCTCGCCAGACGCGAGAGTACGTCTCAATCACGATGCCCCACGTTCAGATACACCTCTGCATCTCGCCGTCCGGAACGGCGATGTAGACGTCGTCGGCTCTCTCCTCTCACAAGGCGCCAATCTTGAAGCGCTGGACACGCATGGCTCCACGGCTCTATTCATCGCAGCCGACATGGGAAAGATTGACATCGCGCGTCTCTTGGTCACGCATGGGGCTTCTGTCTCCATGGAGTGTATTGACCGGCCTGAGTTGCGACCATGGACCATCCTCCAGATCGCAGCCCACAAGGGCCATGCTGATATAGTACGGCTCTTGCTCGACAACGGCGCGGACGTTGATGGTCATTCTGAAGGTCGTCCTACACCGCTGTACGAAGCTGTGAATGAAGGCTTTATCGATGTTGTGCGCCTACTGCTTTCACGGGGAGCGTGCCAGGTACTCCGCGAAGATAACCAAACTGCTTTGCACGTCGCTGCGTCCTCCAGCGGAAGTCAGGATCGTGCACTCGAAATTATGCCTGTGCTCATCGAGTACGGGGCTGACGTTGGAGCGGTCGATACGGAAGGCATCTCGGCGCTTGACCACGCGGTCATGGGCGCTTCTACAGAGACTGGACTCTCCATCGTGAGATTCCTGCTGGAACACGGCGCGAACTATCGTGCACCTTCCCTCCTTTACAGCGCTGCCTGGCGGGGCAACTCTGCTGTTTTACGTTTACTGGGTTCTCAAGGTGCAGATATGGCAGCGATTGACGACCGCGGCTGGACAGCTTTGCACAATGCGATGTCTATGCGCAGGAACGAACCCGACGAAGTTGACGTCGTCCGCGTACTATTGGACTACGGCGTGGACCCCAATAGACGCGCGGAAGTCCCAGACGGGCTAACAGCAGTCCATCTGGCTGCATGGAGTGGAAATATTGAATGTCTGCGCTTACTGCTCCAGAGTGGCGCTGAGGTGGGCGTGCTCGCTCACGGAAGGGGCACTCCTCTACATTGTGCCGTCACGTCGGATTTCTCCGAACCCGCCATTGTGCAACTTCTTCTGGACCATGGCGCAGATTTAAACACGCTTGACGAAGACGGCCTCACCGTGAAACAGTTGGCGCGGATGAAAGGCACCAAAGAGGTGCTACATCAGCTGCACTTGCAACCGACGGGACTACCCATGCTGTCGTCCTCCACAAATATTCGCTCTGAACCGTCAGTCGGTTCTGCGATGACACCTATAACCTCGTCTCGGGATAAGCAAGAATGGTATGGAATGGCATACCCATACTTTGCTGAAGCCGAGAAGCTACGCAAGAGATCCTACGATACGCACATGCTCGAAGACATATCTGGCACAATTGCTGCTTTCGAAAAGGCCAACTCACACGACCCGGACGGTCTCTTCTGCCTCAGCAACCTTTCTGACAGTTATAGACGCAGGTTCGACCTGACGCGGGATTCATCCGATTTTGATCGAGCCTTGGAGTATATGGGAACATATCTGTGCGTTAAGGACAGCGGAACACAACTATGTGAATATGCAGATCTGCTTCTCGCACGCTATAGAATGATATCGCACTCGCCATCTGACCTGAACCGCGCGATGGAAGTGTTTCGTACATGCATGTTCTATCCCCATTCTAGCGACGTTCACTTGCGCGTGTCAGCTGCGCGCGCATACGCCGATCTGTGCTGGAAGTACAAAGATGCAGCCGCGGCGATACGACCATTCCAACTCGCGATCGACATGATCCTGAACGACATATCCGGACCGTATGGAGAGGTCGATACTCGATACTCGATACTGGCCGATGTCCGTGACACTCTCAACACTGCTGTGGTCGCGGCTCTAGAAGCCAGAGAACTATCGCAGGCTCTGGAGTGGTTTGAAAGAGGTCGCTGTGTGATCTGGAATCATGCTTTGCGACTGAGAGCGTCGGTGGCAGGGCTTCGTGATGTCGCCCCTGAGCTTGCGAATGACAAGGAGCGCATCGTTGCGGATCTGATCAAAGCAGAGGACGTCATGACGCTAGCGCCAGAGAAACATCCGAGGCGCATGCAGAACGCTATGCGCCATGACATGCTCGCCATGAATCTCGACGAACTCGTGGAGAAGGCCAGAAAGCTTCCTGGCCTACAGCGATTCTTGTCCCCCAAGACCCCCGCCGAACTGCGGGAGGTCACTGTCTTAGGACCGGTAGTCGTGCTACATGCCGGAGAACATCATTGCGATGCTCTGATCCTCCAACGAGAGCGCGAGGACCTTCTGCACGTCGCTTTGCCCAGGCTTGTGCACGATAACTTACAGCAAGTCCTATCGCGTTTTCACCGCTGCCTGAATGGCACCACTGTCCGTGGCCGAGGATCCATCCCAGCTCGGGATAATGATGTTCATCCTATGGGGCACGTCCTCCAAGCGCTGTGGATCTTAGTGGTTGAACCCATCCTCCGGGAGCTGCAGTTGACGAACCGTGCAACGCGCCCGCAGCATAGTCTGCTACGCATAACGTGGTGTGTATCCGGCCCCTTCGCGTTCCTCCCTCTGCACGCCGCGGGTGTCTATGATGGGTCAGGCTCTCGTTCAGAAAGAGCATATGAGTACGCTGTGCACTCATACACTCCATCGCTATCTGCGCTGGCTGAAGCTCTGAGTCATAACGTGCCTAATGAAGAAGGCATCAGTCCCTCAGTATTCGCAGTATCTCAGCCTGCCACACCTGGACAGGAACCTTTACCTGGGACGATCGCCGAGGTTGCCGCTATCAAGACTGTCGTCGGGAGTGAGCGCCTGACCTGGTTGGACGGCACCGAGGCGACTACGTCGGTGCTCATGAACATAGACAAGCACCCTTGGGTCCATCTCGCTTGTCATGCCGTTCAGAATGCCGAAAAGCCAACGCAGAGCGCCTTCATGCTCGAAGATGGTGCTTTGACCTTACGCATGCTCATGCGCCGTACTGCTATAAGCGGGAGACAGGCGTTAGCGGTGCTCTCGGCATGCCAGACGGCAACAGGAGACGAGACCGTACCAGAAGAGGCTGTACATCTCGCAGCGGGCATGCTGATGACGGGCTTTCAAAGTGTCGTCGCGACGATGTGGTCTATCGGTGACCAGGATGCGCCAGTCGTTATGGGCTCCTTCTATGAGTATCTGCTGAGCAGAGCCGGAGTAGACAGCACCCAGTCAGCTTACGCGCTGCATCATGCAGTCAAAGAGCTTCGAGAGAAGGTTGGAGAGAACAATTTCATGCGATGGGTCCCGTTCATACATATGGGAGTGTAGGTCGAGAGAGTATCGGTTATCAGTTCAAATAGTACATTGCCCGTACCATCCCTATAGCACCTATGCGCCACTATTACGGCTAACGACTTCCATGCTCTCATGTTGTACTTATGTACCAGAGTTCATCGTGCACGACGGCGTGGTGTGGCCGTGAAAGGCAGAACGCAGAAACCGCAGACCAGACGGGCTGGAGTTGAGGGAAGATGCTAAGGACGGCGCAACAGTCTCGCAGGTATGATATCAAGTATTCCTTCCGATGATGGTCGGAAGCAAGCCATAAGTGGTGACGAACCGCGAGCCGCGAGGCGGCTGGCGCGTCAGCAGCCTTACGTCATGCTTGACGCGGTACCGTGACTCCCGTGTGCCACGCGTCTCAGCATTTCCCGCGCACCTTGTTCGCGATGGCGGCAATGTTCCTCGCGCAGGCAATACGGGCCCATTCCTCAGCTCAAATCAGCACCATATGAGGCAGCTATAAGCTTCATCATATTGCGCGCCGATCGTGCGTTCGCGGCGGCGTAGCGATGGTCGCCGACTTCCCCAGTGACAACCGTGTATCTGCTCGTCCTCGGACGCCGATCGCAACAACACTAGACTCAATACCCGAATAGCCATTCATTGACATGTAAATATACAATATCAAGCCCAGAAGACCATCCGGACCCTCCCATCTCTCCATTATCCGCCCGAAAAGGCCACCCCGACCCACCCCGTCTCGCATCTCCGCTCCGGATCCATCCCCTCCGCCACCCCCGATCTCCCGCGACCATTCCAACTCCCAAGTCAATCACGCACAAGCGCATGCGTATATATCCGGAGCGCGGAGATCGCATGTACGTCGGCGCCACGAAGGAACGACCAAGCGAAGGTCCAAGCGCATCATGCGCTCGCACGCCCGCGCTGTGACTCGCGTTGTTCGACCGATATGGAGATGCGGGGCCGAGCGCGGTTGACAGGAGACGATCGGTGGATATTTGGCATGATCCAAACGTCCACAGGGGTAGCTGTTAATCATCTATCCGTGTGCGCTCGGTGCGTTCTGGGCCCGTCGGTCGTCACGCCTCTTTGTTCTCGTCAAACCTACGAGGCCCCAATGTTCGCGCGTCTTGACATCGGCTGCCGCGCTGCGCGTACGCGCAAGTCATGCTTGTGAGAGGAAGGACCTCGCTTATTGCTGAGAGGCGGATCCAGTGCGCATTGTGGGCTGCTTAAGGTCGTCTTGTCCCGCCATCAATACCCGAATACACGCTCGACGGCTCCGCCTTGACGCTCGTCGACATGCTTGGAGTACTCCAATCGTGCATGAGATAGCCTTCGCCGTTGCTCTCCAGCCGTACGACCATAGACTCGCGGAAGCGAAGAGAAACAGACTGATCCTTCGTTTCTTTCATCTAAAGCTGAGCGCAGCAGGACATCCTCTCAAAGAAGAACATGCAGCACGCGGTCAACGGATGCAATACCGCTTCGACCTATACATATCCAGGCGCTTTGACCAAGATATATGAAACGAATGCGTCCAGTGACCGAATACATCGCCTTCCAAGCGGGAAGCACGAGAAGCCGTACCGGGTACTGAGCTCACGCTCATCACAAGTCGAGCAGTACCAGGAGCACGTCCAGCGCCAGGGCCCAGATCTTCGACGCCTGAAGTCCAGCCTGTCGAGTGTAGCCCGTGAAGAATCCAGCTCACAAGTCCAGAAGACGTAAGCCACCCTGTACAGAAACTTCTCCGAGAGCTGTTCGGGAGCAGTACAGGTGCGCTTGACAATAGCGCGGGTACAACTTGCACGGCTCGTTCCGATGGCCCCCGTCCGTATTCGTTCGAGGCGCGCGTACTCCGTTTCGACCCAAGCTTAGCTTACAGAGTCCAGAGATGTCGCGGGTTCGTACTACTGGAGGACCTGGGCGCCTCTGGCAGGGGGAAGAGCGATTGGGCGGAAAGGGCGGCGAGGGGTTGCTATGCGGGAATGCGAGGCGCTGAGCTAGAAGTCTGAAGGTCGGATCCGACCTCGTATCGTATGAGAGTGTGACCGTTCGAAGAAGGGCTTGGATAGATGGAAGTTCATATCTGAAACCCCAGCGTACAGCTGAGAGCGGCGGGCATATAATCAAACTGTTTGCTTACTAGCAGCTTGGGTAACCGACGACAGCGAAGGGGCCGTCGCTTCTCGTATCCGTCAGAGTTCATGATTAGATTCGAGGGTTCTGAGCGCATACCCAAAGGCGGGTATAAGCGTATAATGCGAGAGCCTGGTGGGATTGCCGCATGGGGAACCCGACGGGTGACGCACATGGACCCGAGTGTGGGACGCGCGCCTGTAAGAGTCATCTCGCGTGGGTAGGCGCGGGATGCGCGTAAGTATGCAGTGGGAAGTACAGTACGGAGTGGCGCGGGGGTACGGGTGGGGTACATAGCTTGAAGGCCGACAACGGACGGATTTCGGGCTCAGGCGGTGGACGGGTATACGCGGCTGGGAGCGTGTATTCCGGTGTGGGAAGATGAATCGTCGGGCCCGTGCCACATGCCGGGATGGACTCTCACTGGCCAGAATGAAATGAGCAGGAACGGGTGGAACGGCTTCGGAGGGTTCGGGTTTAGGTCGTGGTCGGTGCTGTTTATGGTAGTAGAGTAGAAGGTTACATTGTGTGCGCGCGTGAACGTGACCACGTATTCCGTGGACGGAATAGGCAATGTGAAGCGAGGAGGAGATGCGTGTTTCAGTGGGCATCATACAATTGTCGGTACAGCTACGCCGATGTACATGTCCGTCGGGATGTGGCGAGAGAAGATGGGTATGGGTGCGAGCGTCGATTGCTATTCTTGCCGAGTCGGGGCGAGCGCCGGAGATGAGAGTGTTCGCGGCAATGGTAGGTGGGATTTGTTACGAGTAGTATGAGCTGTGCAGATGGAGTGGAAGCATGCAAGCCAAGTAGAAAGGGTCCTGAAGCCGCGGCCCGAAACGTTCCATTGGCGAAGGGAGTGCACGGTAACGTGAGTTTAAGTAGCACGATCCAGTGGTCCGTTGAAGGATGTCCGCCAATGAGAGATAGATGTGCTCAGGTGATGGTTAGATAGATCTCTCGGATCACAGAGAGGGCGCACACCTGCTGCAAGAGCATTCTTCATCTGCGAGAGACTGACGGCGGTCCATATTCTTGATGAGCGGCGTGTCGACTGACTGGTAGCCCATGAGACTGTTGAGAACGCTTCAGTAGTGAGCCGCAGTCCAGAATCTGGGTATAAGCTTGATCTTGATGAGTGCAATGCGAGCTTGGGAGGATATAGGACTTACGCGAGATTGATGAGACCTCGACTACTAGTACGGACGGCCAGCCTTCATGTGCGGTTATCGGAGCGCCATATCCTGTGCAAGATGAGAAAGTAAACTGCGCATATCGGGGTTCTCAACCTAGAGGGGAGTTGAGAGGGGTATCGCACAGCTGCGCGTCTTCGTCGTCCAGCTTAAGAGGCAGCAGGTTGCAACGCGGTGGCCTCGCGACTTAGCGTTTACGAGCGTGCAACGTGCAGCCTTATCTCCTGCACCGCTAGTGCAGCTCTAAAGCTCCGAGCTAGTGCACGTCGTATAGTACTAGAGAGTGTTTCTGGGCGTGTCCAAGCTTCATAGCTATTAGGCGTGGATATGAAGTCGATCAAGCTGTGGCGCGTAGTTCCGTCTATGAACTTGATTGCCTTAACCAATGGTGTATTGCAAGATTCGTAGAGCATGGGCTGCGTATGGACGTATTCAGGTGGTCCGGTTGAGGGACGCCATAGCAGTGAGCGGCCGAGCATCTACCAACCGCCTCCAAAGAATGGTACGCGCGCGGAACGCGTCAAGTTCCGGACCATACACCCGTTTGCGCCCTCATCATACGTCAGACACGTTCGTCCAACACTCTCCATTCACATCAGCGCCAGTCTGTAGAGAGAAAGCTCTGCATCACGAGCGAACGTCGAACATGGCGGAGAATGGCAAGATGTCGCCATGACGCGCGCGGCCGGGCCGCACGTGTCCCTGCGGCGCGCTGACAACACGCCCCTCCTCGCCGCACCGCCCGTTCCTTTCCGTTCTCTCCGCTCCCTCCATTCCACCATCTCTTTCTAGCTCATCGCTCGCACTCATCGCGCAACCCAACTCATCACACGCAGACGACACAGAATGATACGCAACGGATCTCAACGAACAAGAACGTCACGCGACACACACTAGACAAGATGACGTTGTGGCATGGGGGCATATTGATTTCGAACCGCTCTTACAATCGAGAAGGAGACGAGGGCATAATGGTGGCGCGACAGGTTGTTCGCAATTTTTTGGTGTATATGGATCGTGGTGGTTGGATTGGTGTGTGGGGGATATCCAAGAAGGCGTGACGGAGACGTAAGGGGGAGTAGGAGCGGTGGTATCCCAAGGATAGTAGGCAAGGCAAAGGGTTGAAGAGAGGTGCGTATGTAGCGCGTCGGATTGCGCCCCGCCGCCGCTTAGCGCGGACGGCGGGGCGTAGAGGCAGAGAGAAAGTAACTAATACAGGTTCGCAGGAAGATGAAACGATGAATGAAGATAGAAGCACAAGTTGAAATGGCAGGCGATCCGTATAGAAAGTGTGTTTGTAAAGCAGACGCGGACGGAAGAAGAAGATGTAAGTAGATGAGCGGTGTTAATACATGACGCGGAAACAGAGCAGATGTCTGATTATGATACAACGCAGCGTCCGGAAGAGCGGTCGACGGCGAAAGCGGAAGGAGACACTTGTACAGTGGCGTGAGACGGCGTGAGAGATGTGGTCGAGAAGGGTGGTGGTACAACCGCGCGCAGCGCGGGAAGGCGTCGTCGTTGTGGATCGTCGCGCCCGCGCGGTCATGTCGTGAGCGTAGATGGGCGCGTCCAGCGCGGGATTGACTGTCTACCACCAATTATATTCCTCTCAAGCCGCCAGGCCAGCGTCGTACCCGAACACCCACGTGTTCTCCTGCGTCCACTGCGGCTGCTGCTCCTCCTCGTGCTGGACGTAGGGCGTGTGCAGCAGCGCGGGGTCCACGGCAGAGGAGTCGTACTTGCTCTGCTGCTCGAGCTCGAACTTGGGGATGTCGAGCGCGACGGGCGGGATCATGCTCAGCTCGAAGTGCTCGTCGAACATCGCGCCCGCGCCCGCGCCCCACGCCCACGCGCTCGGCGTCTGGTCCCACGGCTGGCTCTGCAGCGACGCCGCCGTCCACATGTTCCCACCGGAGTGGATGTCGAGCGGCATCGGTGCCTCGCCCTCGAGCGGGCGCGAGACCATGTTGGGCGTGTAGGGCCCGGTGCGCGGCGAGGGGGCGCCCGATGACGACATGGAGAAGGAGGCGCCGGGGTTGAACATCCCGTTGGCGTCGACGGGGTAAGCGAACGCGGGCTCGGGCTGGAACGCGGGCTCGGCGGGCGCGCCGTACGCGGGCTCGTACACGGGCGAAGACTATGCTCGCGATCAGCAACTCTAAATCGGGGATCTGGATCAAGATGGGATCGGCGCACCTGGGTGTGCACTTCGGGCCTCCAGCCCTCGGGCTTCGTGAACTGCGGCGCCGCGTCGTCGGGCACGTACGCGGGGAAGCTCCAGTCCGGCTCGATCTCTCCAGCCTGCGCGTTTGCGGGCGCTTGGGTGGGCGTGGGCATGAACAGGTTCGGGATGACGACCGTCTGCGTCGCGGGCGGCGGCGTGGGCGTGCGGCTGTCCTGCTGCACGGACTGGGGAGCGGGAGCGGGCACCGTGAACGTGATGTCGTCGCCCTGCTGGCGCGCCTTGCCCTTCTTCGTCCTCTGCGGCCTGTACACATAATCCGGGTGCAGCGCCGCGTGCTCCGCCTTCCTCTCGCGCGCCTTGGCCTCCCAAACCTCCCTCTCCTCAGGGCTCAGATCCTTCCACTGCTGAGAGATCGCCTTGCTGAGATCGGCCTGGCGCTGCCGCTTCGGTGCGGGGCCCACGAGCTGGGCTTCTTGTGCGTTGCGCTCCTCGCAGCATGCGCGGCGGAACAGGATGAACGCGTTCTCCGGGCGCTTCACGTACGAGGCGTCGCCCTTCTTCGGGCGCGGGACGTTGTCGTCCGCTGCACCGCGGCGGCGGCGAGGCTTGGGTGCGGGCGGTGGCGGCGTCGGGCGGTATGTCGCGTCGCCGGCGGAGGAGGTCGAGGTCGTCGGCGACGGGGGAGTGAGCGTGAGGGTCCTGAGGTCCGGCTCGAAGGGCGAGTTGGCGCGGGAATGAGCGTGCGTCGGGGCCTCCAGGGCGTCCGCGAGGGCTGGGAGAGGTGGTCAGTGATTGCAGAGATGATCGCGATCAGAGATCTTTGCTCACGTCGTGTGTCGCGAGTGCGATATGCGGGCATGATGGTTCAGTTGATGGTGGTGATGGTCGGGCGGGCGTCGGTGGGGAAGAGGTCTCCTGGGAGCAGCGGGGGATGAGAGCAGGAGATTGACAGAGCGACGTCGTTCGGGCGTGTCGAAGGGTGGATGCGTGCTCGAGAGAAAGGCGCTCGGGCGTCTGGCGGGGCGTGCTTTTGTGCTGTGCGCAGGGCAGGGCAGGAGTCACGCGTCGGTGCAAGACAATTAGAGCCAGGACCGAAGACGAGCCAACGTCTTATACACCCCGCGGGCCGTCTCAGCGAACCTTTGTTCACAGATCCGATCGGGCTTTCGAATCTGCATTCTCTCCCGCCTCTATCCGGTCCGCGCCAAACACGACCAAACACGCCTTATTGTCTTTGCCCTGCGAGCCCTCCCGCCAGCCCTTTGGGTCACATCCCCGCCTTATCGTGCGCGAGGGAGGCACACCCTTCCGTCGTTCGAATCGGACGCTGATTTCTTTCTCTTTTGCGCGCTGCATGCGAACGGTTTATTGCCGCCGGCCCACCAGCCGGTGCGAAGCAGCCTGAGATGGAAGGTCGGGACTCGGGGCCGCTCTCTCCCTTTTCGTCTCTGGCTTCCCCTCGCTCACGCCGCTGTGGCCCGCGCAACGTTGTAACTCTCGAGAGTCATCGCTCGATCGCCGCTACGTCCTTGCTCGGCGTTCATTACATCGCTGCACCCCGCCTCGTTCCTCGTCGCTTTGACGTGGACGGAGGACGTACTGCCCGACCCCCGCCGTCATGCCAGGCGCCCTTTACGTTCTTCTGCTTTTTCCGGTCGAAGATGGGACCCTTCCCTTCTGCATCTCGCGCGCGCCGTTGGCGCTCGTCCCTTGTGGCTCGACCACCGAGCCGCCTGACATAGGTCCCGTCCATTGTACGCCCTAATGAACATGAACGAACCACTCCCTCTTTCATCTCTCCATAGAGGCGCGGACGCCCGCCGGCGCGCCCATGGAAGGACCAAGCGCAGTGCTGTTTAATCTGTACCCAAACGGCCGACAATGGATCTTCTCTCTGCGAGCAATATCATTCGAACCGGACGCATCTATCGATCCCGAGATCGTCACCGGGCTCATATCGTCCAGCGACCGCCGCACGCCCTCGTCCATCGCCCCGGTCCAGCGCGAACCATTCTATCGTGCACCACCTGCCCATCCAACAGAACACGCAGTCGGCCTCGAGGCGGCTGCATACCTTGCCTCCGTCCCTACGCCATGCCATGTCGGTATCCCCGGCGCGAGTGATATACAGCACCACGCGGCATTATCATGGCATGCGCGTTCGGCGCATACATACAGGATGCAGAGTCCGAATCCACATCGCCGCAGATGGGCTTGTACGTTCGGATTTCTGCCTCGCGGTGTACAGGTTCGGCCTCGAGGCCCATGCGACGTACACGCGAGAAGCACCCGCGCGCGTCTATGTACGCCAGGTCGGCTTGGGCGCGCCCACACTCACGCTCAGGCGCGCGCGCCCACGACCGTCTGTTTTTTCCCCTGTGACCGCCGTCGGCCCGATGCGCTGCTCTTGATGCGCGCGCCCGATTAGGAAGGAGGCGCGGGGCTTTTACGACTGATCGTTACGGGTGATGTCGTTTGTCGGAGGGGTCAAGGGCAAAGTAGAGTGCGCAGTGCGCTTGGACGGTGTGGACGGGGAATGGAGGGAGGGGGGATAAGGATCGTCGGTCGATATCGTCTACGTCTACAGTGCCAGTACGGGTCACACTGAGATGCGACGTTCTGCGTAGACCGGGACATCCGATAATCATCTGTGCCATCTATGCTATCATCATGCATCTACCTCTCCGTTCCAGCTTTGCCCTGGCCTCCGAGTCTGCTGTGCATTATCGCTATGCATACTGTAACGGAGCGGCTCATTTGCGATCAGCGCCGCGCGACCCGTTCATCTCCCTTGAGCCTTCCCTTGCGGGTCGATGACACCGACACGTCGCTGTGAGGCTGTCTTGTCATTCTGCCATCTGGACATCGGTACGCGCTCGTTCCGCCGCGCGGCGCACGTAACCCGGCGATTACACGTTTTACAGCGAACCTGTGGCCTGTGGGATGATCTGCCCGCACGCGCCGTGCCCCTCCTGCCCATCCTGGACGGCGCATCTTCGCACATCTAATGGGTTTAGGCTTTGCTTCTGCGACGTCTGTACATAATATGAAGTGTGGCCCTCCCGCGTTCTTTTCACATCCCCTTGCCGCCGAACGAATCGTTCGTCATGTATGTGCCGCGTGTTGGACCCATTACTCTCGAGCCCGCAGCGGACAGCGCCTCTTACATTCCGTTGACGTCCTGGAGATGAAAGGACGACTAAACACCGGGAGATGAACCGCACGCGGGCCAAGGATGCCGATGGGAGTTTGACAGCTTCGATCTTCGGCGCTGGGCGTTCAGAGCTTCAGATGAAGAGAGCGCGTCATACTGTAACCACAGCTCACTGATCCCAGCGACTGTGGTCGCGGATAGCCCGGATAGTGCCTTCATACATCTCCGCGGCCGCGCGGGCCATCCGCGCTCTACCACGCTACGACCCTCGCTCGTCCACCTCCGTTCCCCTCTCTTCCACCGGAGAACAGTGCATATGGTAAGATGCGTAAAGCGTGCAGTGCGCTACGCTCGATGCATGTGATGTCGCTCGCCCTCGGTGTCCCGCCTGGGCGAGCCGGGATGAAATCGATGGCGCGGAGCCGCTGCGATGGCGCGTGAGCGTACAGCTCTGTATCTCTGTATCGAGTAGCTGGCGGTCGAGTAAGGTACGTGTCCCGACCCGTGATCTGCGCCACTGTCCGTTCATTGAGGGCTGATTGCGGAGTAGTGGCATAGGCAGGTCCCGCTGCGCGCGCCCGCGCCGGATGTCCAACGGTTGAACTTGGCCAGCTGCCTCCATCTGCCACTCGCCGACTCGCCATTTCGTTCCGGTCGTGACGACCGCCCTGCGCTAGAGGTCATCTGGTCCTCGTCCAGCCTCGATGCAATACTGCTATCTGCGTCAAGCAAAGACCAATCGCACCCGTATTGTCCTCCTTCCGTCCTGCAAAGACCAATCGCTCTATCAAGATTCCGCTCACCACCTCCGGCGCATTATAGCTATCTTTCACCGGTTCAGCATCCGCGAGGAGATGGCGCGTGCATTGTGCATGACGGTATCTGTGGTTATACAACCGCCTATGTCTCGGAGGCCGCGATCGTTTAGCGTGCATTAGACGAGCTGCTCCCGGTTGCTACGCGGAGTCGCGCTCGTTGCCTCTGTCGCACCGACGCCCGTCGACCATCTGCCTCCGCCGCCCGAGCACGTTCCGCACCATGGACCTGCTCCCGCCAGCGCCCTGGACTAGCCCTCGATTCAAACCGCCGCCGCGCCCGCCGGCAGCACAGCTCGCGGAGGCTGATCGTGAATGCGTGATGGCGTGCCACAGCTGGGTTCGAGCGGAGAGCGGAGCCTTGTTTCGGATGGTCTCGTAGCTGAATTTGTGGCTCAAGTTTGGCTGTATGCGGGATCGACGCTCGACGAGCGCTCCTACCAAATTGAATGTCCACTTCTTTAGCCTCTTACACACTCACTTCGGAGTATGACGGTCAGGGCCACGCGTTTTGGGTGTCGATCGACCACGTATAGTTGGAGGGCTTGACGGCGAGCGGTCGGGCCACTGCCACCCAAGCCTCGTCCTAGTACAGCGCGCATCGAGAACGTGAGCTAGAGCCACAACCCTGCCTTGTTTGGATCTAACTGAACAAGCCTTACACAGCGATCTTAGTCTCTAACGCATGCCAATCCTCGATGCTACGTAGCTTTGTGGCGGTAAAGTTGTAGCGTCGACCTGAGCCACTGCCACACCAACGTTAACCCATGACCGGACTGCCCGATGACCTACAACGTCTCTCTTGTGTGATTAGATGTTTCGCTTCACTGCTGTTCACACTCAGAAGGTCCTATTCTACATTCGCATTTCAGGTTCCGCTGTATTGAGCCACAGCCAAATGCCACCATCATCGTCTTACAGCACCGTACTAACCGTATGAGCATACTGCCCGTATGTTGCCCGGTCCGAAGCTGCAGCCACTGCGCTGCGCATGACAATCCATGTTCTGACCATCGACGGATACATGCGTAGAATTCCTTCGGTGCTTCCTCTGGTCCGCTATCCTTCATGTGCTTCTTTGCGATGCACATCGCAAGAGATAGGTTCGTCTTCTCTCTATCTCTTGTTGCGGACACTAGTACGGTGACCTCCTTCATCTCGGATGCCCAGCCGTCCTCTAGATACGGCCATATCACATTCAGATCGCCGTGTTCTCAGTGTCGATCCCGTGGTAGAGCTTGCTCATCATCTCGACATGCTCCTCCTTCTGCGAGCACGCGGCGCAGGGCAATTGTATAGCGCCCCCATCGCGAACATGCTCGCGCTTCTCGGGGCGCCTACACTCGGCTAGTGTATTCCGTCGCCGTTCTTCCCATGAGCTCGGATGCCCTGCACAGACTCAGACTCTACACTCATGATATCCCGTGCGGCTCGCCATTCGTCGCGATATCGATTGGAGAGAAGCTTGGACTGGACAAGCGCCGGCTTGATTGAGTTCATCACTTCGTAGCACGTGTATCCTGGCATATCAGCCCGTCCGCGTCTGTCCGCGCCCTTCTTCCGACTCGCCGACGCCCACATCGCTTCCGCGCAAGAAATCCGATGTAGAGGAAGTTTGACGCTGGTGCACTGTAGCCGAACGCCACTGATTTTTGTGCGGCCTTTTTCTTATTATTCTCCACTCCCGCGCTGTCGCTTTGGCGCGCAGCCCTTTTTCTGCTCTTCCGCCGTGCATATACGGCAGGGGACGGGCTGATCTACTATCGCAGTTCCGTATTCCGCGGTGCAGATGGTCAAAGTGAGGGATCTTTGAGTACTCGCGGAACACATATGATCGCCGTACAAATCATGAACACACGACGACCGTGTTTTGTAAGAAACAGAAGATCGGCCTATTGCCCTCGATAGCTATGATACAGGTTGAGCTGTAGATGCAGCTCGTTGTCCGTCGGGCTCTATCCTATAAGGTCCACCACCACCATCAGACATCCCTGCAGGTGCACTCGTAAATCGCGACAGCGGCTGGGTCCTAGACGCATGTGCCGTCGGCGCCCTTGCTTTGTGCTCGGCATATCTTTCTCGCTTTGTATGTGCTGCGCGCAGCTTTGGTGCGCGGTGAAGGGGGACGTGTACGTGGTAGTGGCCTTCTGTCTCAGATGTCTAATGCGCGTGGATGATGCCCGGGCACTTGCCTACTTAGGCCAAGGTGCTAGAGTAAGGATACGGTGGGGCACATGTGCCGCTGTGTTGCTTTCAAAGCATGATTGTACACCTGGTAGGCGGGGTAATTGACCATGTTGGACCGACGCTGCGATCGTTGAAGAAAAAGAACGTGCGGGCGGCGATGCGGCAGCGCAAGCGTGAGAATATGACGCGCCTCCGGCGTCTCTCAGATCGGGCGGAAGATCTTGGTTCGGTGTAGTGGCGATCTCTTCTTTGGGCCACAACATGCTATCACCGAAGTGCGATCATCGTGTAAAACGGCTCTGTGTCGACTGCCTGATACGTGCTGGTGCTTGGAGCTGGGCAGAGGCTCCTACGCACGTCAAAAGTACGAGGAGGAGGGGCTCCGCATTGCGGCTACTAACTGTGCGTGCCTCGAGGCTCGCGGCTCGATCGTGTTCCAGGGCGTTGATTACCGGCTGACTCGTGTCATGGTCTCGGAGCACGCGACGGCAGTTGACTTCGGCAAGTGATACCCAGCCCCTTCCGCAACCTATCGGGAAAGACTTCACGGTGCTTCGAGTACTTCGTCCGGCAGAAGTAGTAAACAGCGCTGCCTATGTCACTACAGTAGCGCCTCAACTGGTTCAATAGGTGTAGACACTAGTAACGCTTGTCGACCCCTATCGACCAGGTCAGTTGAACATCCTTGAGATCATCCACTAGGGTGCAATCCTATATGTCAGCAGAATAAAGGTATCGTAATCCGCTAGTCAGCTCATGCACTTGATCCTGCCCCGCACACAGCGGGCTTAATGAAGACAGATTTGCGAGGCCATCTTCCGGTGTTTCCAGCGCCGAGAGACAGCAATATGCCTCCGTCAGATGCCTTTTCCTTGACCCATGAGCGCGAAGGATAATCGATAGAGAGCAGTTACGGGAGCAAGGAAAGTTCAAAGCCCGACAAAGGAAGAGCAGGCCGCCGTCAGATGGCTCGGGCAATGGGATCCGACTCGCTCGGGCATGCATGCACGATTGTTCGAGCAAAATGGGCATATTGCTAGGCCCGGATGCCGACGAGCGACGCACACTACGCGTGATGACGGTCAGGATGCGGGTATTCGAGGGCCGAGAAGAAGAAAGGGACGTCGGAACCTCTGATATGCACCGCACGGCTCTGTTCGCTCTCAAGGTGTCTAGAAAAAACGCGTGCAAATATCCAGACTGACAGGCAACGTGCCGAGCTGCCACCTCTTTGTGCAACTTTTCGGGCAAGGGAACGAGGCGCGGAAGCAAAGATGTACGAGTACCGAATCCATACCGGGTGCTACACGCTCTCAGCGCCAACGCTTACACTCCACGGAACATCTTCATATTGCAGTCCTCTCACGGAGAATGGTACGTTCAGGCAGCGAGTAGAGAATCCGGACGAGCGCGCGTTCTTACTGGAGAGATTTCTCCTTGGACGAACGAAGAACCTTATCGCGCTCGGGCCAAAGTAAGCGCAGCGCTATTCCCGCCTGGACGTCGACGGACCAGGAAGTGGCGTTCCAGCGTCGGTCGCTCCTGTGCGCCGAGCAAGGGTCCCGAATGTCTATAACGATTCAGGCGGGATCAGAACGTGACAAGATATCGTACTCCAGATATCATAGCAGCGGCGCGTATGTTTTCTTTGAGTTTGTCTGGTCACTACGGATCGGGTGCTTCTCGGGGCGAAGAGGCGCCGTAGACGTTGGCTATCAGAGGATGAGCCGTTGTGCGGGCACACTACGCGGAGGCCGGGCGCGTACCTTCCCGCAATGGTAGGACTTTGCATGCCTGATGGCTCGCAGATGGCCAGGCGCTCTCAGATCCAGACCGCCGCCACATCGTACACGGGGCTGATTGGTGGGTTCTGGAAGTACAGGGATGACTACGAGTCGGAATCAAGCCCGTGTGTGGTCGCTAGAAGGCAGATATGTAGAGAGAACAAGCTTTTGCGACGTGTGCGCGCGAAGCATCTGAACGGCACCCTTGTTCCTCATCTCGGGAAGCTCTCCCAGGGAATGACTCGGGCGAGAGGTCAACGCCGTACATGTCGAGTATACAGCTGTATATGTTCAACATTATCGTGCTGCATTGCAGGAGGGGTGACCATGAGGCCACGGAGAGGCTCGGGCGCATGTCGTGCCACAGTAGATGTGGATCAGGAAGAGGCGCGACAGCTTCGTGCAGCTTCGTGCGTGTGCGGTCGGAGGTGCGCCGGCTAAAGCCGAGAGGTCGATCCCAGCTGCGTCATCTCGATTTCGCGCTCTGTTCGTGCCAACATCTCCTATTCTTGCCTCTATTTCGGATGGCTCCTCGACAGCTTACTCTCTACCACCGCTCTCTACTTGCTCTAGACAGTCGAGCCGGCCCCTCCATTCCCTACTCGTGAACCCTTTTCTCTACGAGGTTTGGCGCGCATTGTTTGGATCAAAAGTCCCTCGCTCACGCTTCTCGCCCTGGTGACTGCTTCTTAGGCGCTGTTCTGACGGTATAGACGAACTGGCTCGCTCTGGGCCCCTATCACTTCATACTTGCTGTGCATTTCACGCGTCGCTGGATCGCGACGATGGCTCGCGGTACGAAACGCGCGCGTGCACTGTCGCCGAAGCACGAACCCCCGTCCTCTCCGCTCTCGCCTCTTTCGCCGTCTCCAGGACCGACCGATGAGAAAGACGACATCGTAGTCAGCCCTCCTGTGGCTAAGAAGCGGAAACAATTCGCGTCTTCTCAGGCGAAGAAGCTAAAGCAGCTTGCCGAATTCTCCGGTTCTACGCCCTTTCCTCATTATCCCGGACCTACACCGCAAGATGCCGCGGACGTTCTCTCGGTGCTCGCACAGGCGCATCCCAATCACGCCAGCGCTCGCAAAGCGCCAGCTGATAGCGCCACTGCCAACTCTGCATCGACCTGCGGCGCAGTACGAGATGTTATTGACGCCCTCATCGGCACCATACTCTCTCAGAATACGTCGGGCCGCAATTCCACTGCAGCGAAACGCAGTCTCGACGAGACGTTCGGGCGGCACGGCTTCAAGGCCATCGCCGAAGCGCCACGTGAAGCTGTCGTGGATGCGATCCGCATGGGCGGCCTTGCGAATCGCAAAGCTGGTATCATACAGGGCATGTTACGTGCTGTGTATGCGAAGCACGGGGTGTACTCCCTTCAGCACCTCTCGAAGCTCCCTGACACGGAAGCAATGGCCGAGTTATGTGGCTACGACGGAGTCGGACCGAAGACGGCTTCATGTGTATTGCTCTTCGCACTGGGGCGCGATTCGTTTGCTGTGGACACGCATGTCTACCGCCTTTCGAAAGTCTTGCGCTGGGTCCCTCAAAGCGCGGACCGCGTACGCACCCAGCTGCACCTCGACGTGCGCATCCCGGGACATCTCAAGTACGGCCTACACGTGCTCATGGTCGCTCATGGAAAGGCGTGTAAAGGATGTAAAGGGGACGGGAATCGAACTGAGCCTTGCGTTCTGAAGAAGTACATGCGTGAGCGCAAGGGGGTGAACGAGGATGACACCGCACACGCCGTGGAGAAGGCTGAGGAAGTAGAAGATAGCGACGATACAGTTCCGCACAAGGCCCTTTGAGGAGCATTCATATGTCCGAACGTAGCCAGACGTACTTCTTGCCTGTAATAAGACCTACTTCATACATATATAATCCTGCACCTGCGCTACGAAGCTTGATTCTCCAGACACGGTCTCATTTTTCGTTGATTATCGGATCAAGTAACATCTTCCCAGGGTTCGAGCGCTTAATGGCCCCTGCTCCGCTTTGTGCAATGGTCTTCCACCACTCCTTCAATGGCAAACGACGCAACAAAGCAAGCCTTTTTTGGAGTCTCCGCCAAAGACTGAACCTCGCCGGTGATGATCTGGGCCCGATGCCATCGATAAGACGCTCAGTCGACGCGGTTCGCCGAGGAACGCTTGCTACGTACCAGCCTCGACCTTGACCCCACCCTTCAGGCTTCTCCGTTCTCCGCGGATACATAGCCTTCTGCCGAGAGCCCTCGGCGAATGTGCTTACGACGACCTCAGGGTTAGGGGACCGCACATTGTCAACTCGGTCAAGTTGGACACAGCCTGCGCCTCTCCGCGCCTCGAGGCAAACCGCATGGGAGGTGCATGCAGTGTGCGACAAACGCTGTACCACCACAACCCAGCTCTTAGCTCTTAAGGGCGTCCTGGAATCCGAATCCCGGCTTCCTTCTCTTGCGACGATACTCATCGTACTCAAACCGCACGCTCATCTCCCAGAGCCCAAAGCAACGGTTGTGAGTATCATTTCCCTTCGTCTCTGCCTGCTCTGGCAGACTTCAGCGTCACGAAACCTGGATTGCTTGCTCCGATCATCAGATCTGTGAGCCAGATACTCGTTCTGCCCGTACATGGCTCATCGAGGACGAGTTGTCCTGATCCCGGCATCTTCCGTTCTCCACCGCGGTGGCTCGCTCGTGGTCGACAGTCAAGGGAGTAACTCTGCGAACGTCGTCACTGTCAAGCCGAATCTCCCTGAAACAATGCTGATGTCTGTTTTCAGAACTTCTCTGTCGACTGTAGATACTAGCAGGCTGTTCTGAACCTGTGCCCCGGGCGCCGTGCTCCGATATACACGGTGCGTCACTAGCCCACGTACATATCACGACTGCTTCTGAACTCCGCCGCGCGCCTTATCCCCGGCTCTTCTTCTCAACCTCAACTACAGACACAAGTTAAATCGCGCATTTGCCCTTGCATCTCCACAACCTCGACCGCACCAGGATCCAAGCCTCGCTCGACAACATGGACGGCCTCGACGACCTCGGTCTGACCGGCTTTGATGATCCTTCCTCTTCACCCGAAGCCTTCGGCTCGCCGGATCCGCTCTCCTCGGACTTGCCGCAGAGCTTTCCTCCAGCCTATAGCCCCAGCACTTCGAGGACCCCAGTTGCATCGCCTTCAAGGGATCGATACGCTGGATCGGCCTTGCCTCCGCTTCCCCTCTACGAAGAGACCTCCGACACGCACCACCTGGCGATATCCGATCTCACATCCGCTCCATCTACCTCATCTCAACCGGTAGCATACAGCTGGTCAGGGCATCAGCTGCGGCCTCAAAGGTCCACCGACTTCAACCCTCTTGCACATGGGTTATTCCCGGTTCCATCTGTCCACCCACCTACGCCGAGTACACGCCCGACGTATCCGACCGCGCTTGAGGCGTCCACCCCTCGCAATGGTCTTTCCGGACCATTGTCAGACGAACCTACGTCCGGTACACTTCGTGAGCTCTCGACACTCAATGTGTTCATTCAACAAAGTCTGACGCGCGTGGAGCAGATCCTATCGTAGTAGACGACCCGCACTCAAGACATGCCTCCTTGCTGCCACAGGGCGAGCTTCCCCCTCTTGATGTTCTGCCGTTAGAGCATCTCCATGCCGGGCCGAGTTTGAGCAACCTCCCCGCTCCTCAACCACAATCTGCACCCACGACCACTTCCCGCAAGCGCATCGTGCACAGCCCATTTTATCTCGCAGAAAATGACACGATGTGGATGGAGGAGGTGGATGCCGAAGAGGTGCAGGCTTTCCTTGCCTCGCCTCGCCCTACCAGCGACGTGGATCAGCTGCCCCCTCAAGGCGGCGCAGTATCAACAACAACTCGATCCATGGTTATTCCTCCCCAGGCACTCTGGAGGATCCTGAGCTTCAAAGCTCTTCTGAGGCAGCTTTTACGAAGACTTCCATCCCTCACCGCATGGAAGAATTTCTGGTTAAGACTATTCTTCAGGTCTTCCGGTGAGCGTTGAATCCTACTTGTTCGTACTAGTCGTTGAGACTGGATAGCTAGGAAGTCCTCGTCAGCATCGTCACGAAAAATTCCAGCCAATGGTTCTGTAGACGGCGCGTTTCCACGACCTGGCGACCCAGATTGGGAGGCGTACGGTGCCTGTATGCTATACTACATACCAAGACTTCGCCAGGAATGTGCGTGATATCATGCCAGCTTGACTCCCCGAGGTGTTATGCAGTTCACTCACGACGTGTCGTCGTAGACGTCCTTCCTGTGCCCGACGCGCCTCCACCCATTTATCCTACACCTTGGCCCGTTGTCAACGTCGTTCCGATCGTGCATCAGCTTGCCACAAATCAAGTTCTCTGCCCGCCATTGCGCCACCTTCCTCGCGGAGTGTCAAAGCTGAGGTGGGACGTGCGCGGGGCAGACTTCGGGATACCACTCGCAAACGCCGCCTTCATGTCGCAACCGGCGACATGGCCGCTGTGCTCGAAGCTTGTCATCTCTTGCTGCGCCGACGATCCTCAACCGCAATGGCCGTGGTCGATCACGGTTTATAGCCCTTGGGGCGTGACACTTCACGAGGTCCTCGTCGCCATCAAAGAGAACATGAAGCAAGCGATCTGGCCTCATGAATGGGACACTCTTCACCCTGAGCGTCGCGCGGCTATTGAACGCCTGCACCTCGCACGGACGACGGCGCATCCGTTGGGGCGTCCTTTGCCTGAGCCCAACGACGAGGAAGTCCTTCGTTCCGATTACCTTTTGGGGCACACGTTCTTCCGCGGCCTTACACCGAATCCCGACGGCGATGGGTGGATGATGCACTTCGGCGGGCCCTGATACCAACGCTCGTGAAGGGCGTGAGAGCCAGCACGCATGCTCTATTCCTCTCTCCTCCAAAAGCACATGCTGCGATTGCGCTGCAGGCGGATGAGCCACTACTACTCGTCTACATCCGGATTCATCGTCATCTGCACGGCGACGTGTCGTGCGCTCCGCTATTGTGAAACGCACTCCCTCTACTCCCCACCTTCATTTCCGACAATCTGGCTTGTGGTAGAAGCCAGCATCACCTTAGTCCTTATCCGTCGTATCCGCACAAGTGTTATGGACACCAATGACCACGCCTACACCCATGCCGTTACTGCAACAACCCCATGATCGTCGAGTCTGCGAAGCATGAATCCCGATAGCCACCCATGTACATGCTTCGGCTTCATCGACTTTCATGGCTCGTTATGACCAATTTACTGTGGCTGAACCCTGAGCCCTACGCCTTCAAGTGTCATGTACGGATATCATAACACACGAGTTCTCCGAAAAGAGGACAAGGGGAAGGCCCAAGTAAGCCTCTCACAATTGTTCTGCCCTTTGAGCCTGCATTTTTCTCTTCCCGACACCTCTCACTGCTGACATCTCCGACGGGCTACTCGGTACTTGCATTTGCGTAGGGAGTACTCTCGTTCTCACCGTATGTCAATGTCGGTTCCAGGAGCGATCCGACGTAGAACCTTGAGCTCTGATTGTGGCTGCATAGAAGGAGGGACCCTTACCGGCCGGTGCCCAATGGCCAAAGCAGGTGATCTTCGCATGCAAGGGAAGAAAGACGTGGCGGGTTCTGTAGGCAAGCACAGTTCACGGCGCGAGACGACTTCCGTCGGGATAAGCGCTGGACGCGCCGTGGACCTGTGTTGAGCAGCGGGCGCTTGTCCACAACGCTGATGAGTGCCTATCGGCTCTTCGGACCGTACACGTGGAATCTCATGCGTCTGAGTTCGTACCACGTATAGCTGCTGCGAGGCTACGTAGCAGAAATCCTGAACGAAGAATGGATCCAGGTATGGGCCGAACTAGTTGAAACTCGGTCATAATTCTGAGATGTATTCCATAGGGTACATAGTGATTCAAGACGTGTAGCGCCTGTACTGGGATCGACCGCTATCATGATACTGGACGAAAAGCATTGGTCCTACTACCTTCCACTATACACCAAGGTGGATGAATGGGACCCAGTGCATGAACTTCCTCTCACCAACTTTCTCCCTCAGAATCTTCGTCGCGTAGTGCAATGCATGTGCTGACAGCGCACCATCTCCGTTCGCCTTATGAACAAGGTAATCATAAAATGCCTCCATGACAATGGGCGCATCGTCGTCACCGATCGACCACATCGTAGCGATTACGCTGCGAAAGCCGGTCATGAGCATCCCTGCTGCGAGGTGTACAGCCTCTTCGGGCACCTTCGCGTCCCCGGTTGCTGTCTGGCACGCAGAAAGAACTGCAAGCTCTTTTCGTCCAGTGGTTGAAGTGCGTCGCATGAGTTCGTGTAGAGTGAGACCACCGTCCTGTAGCATGAACGCGCTTTGTGTCGGCCGCTCTGGGTCTTGTACAGCATGACAGGCGAAGTGAGCCCACGCGTTCCTATCGAGACAATCCAGTACTGCAGACTTCGTCGCGTCGGGACCGTTCAACCAGGTCATCGTTTCTGCGCCCACGACGTTCTTGATAGCAGCCACTTCGCCTACCGTGCCGGGCAAGGGACTCTGCTTGGGAGTTTCTGGTTGAGAAATGGCAAGGATGTTTGGATGTCGCGATCCCGATTCGTGGACAACTTGACCTCGTCGGCTCAGCGCTTCAATCAGAGCTGAGAGTGAGGGTGCGTAAGAGTGCACCGCATAGTCATACGCTCTGTGCTGGCGTGTCCGAGAAACTGTATAGTTTCCCGTGGCATGAAGAGGGAGCGAAGTAAGAGGTCCGGATAAGCACCAGGTGATGCGAGGAAGCTTGTCTTCTGGCGTTGAGGTTTCCTTGGTGAGGCCTAGATGTTGAAATACTGGCTCCACGATGTGGTTCCAAAGAGCGAGTAGTATTCGTTCCATCGAGTGGGAAGCGCCAGAGCGAGACATTACGACGCCACGAGCTCCTCTTTGTGCTTCGTGTAGACAGTGTTGATAGCTTGCAGCGATGCTGCCTAGGTTTCCAGAGGTGAGAGCAGGTAGAGAGACATGTTCTGGCACTTGGTTTCGTCGTAGAATGATCGCATCGCAGCGATGATCAGAGACGTTCAGTATGATCACAGGTCCAAGCGTCGCTGCCATCATGAGCTCCGAGGGCGCCTTCGGCGACAGAAAGCCCTCGAGGCCCGGTAACTTCCTCGCTTCGACCGTGAGGGCATCAAAGTTTTTCACTAGGATTCCATGACGCATATAGCTCTGAAGAGTACCCGGATGCCATGCCGGTCTCTCCATATCCTCTTCTGCTGCATGCAGTTGCTTCACAAGACGTCTATTCTGGTCTGCAAGTGCGGCATCGACGGTTTGAAGCTCTCCCGTAGAGGTCTGCACTCGCAAGATGTGGGTCCAGATGATACAACGGCCACGCTCGAACCATTCCAGAGCGCGCGAGACCTCTTCTGCCTCAAGAGCAACGGACACCGCAAAGGCTATGGTGCTGCGTACGGGAAGAAGGGACAGGTGTCGTCGGGCAAGATCGCCCGTTGGCCGCACGATGGACTCCACAAGGTCAACGGCGATCCGTAGTGGTCGCATTGCTGCCATAGCATCTTTGTACAATAAGCACAGATCCGCATATGCGCGTGCAGCTTGGAAACGACTGAGAGGCGGGCCAAGTTCCGGATAATGCATCCGCGCGCGATAAAGCTGCATAGCGTGGTGCAAGTCCGCAGGTGAATGAGAGAAACGCTCGTATCTCTCCAGACGTAGAGATGCGCATGGATGAAGTGGTGGCATTGGGATGTGTTCGCTCTTGATTGAGATGATGTGGATGACGGTATCCATTAGTTGGATAGCCATATCAAGATCCTCCGGGTCCTGTGTGACACGGTAACGTTTGGAGTAAGTGAACGCCATGTTCTCCAGGCAGTATGCGCCTGTCGGGTCATGGGAGTTCGCCGTTTCGTACGCTTTGAGCGCTTGGTCGAGATCTTCGAGCGCGCCACTGGCATCGAACTTGCGAGAGAAACGGATAGCCTCGCGTATGGAGCCGTCAACGAGCGCATCAAGTGCCTTCCTGGCTTTGCGAGCTTCATCTGCAACGTCAAAGGTCGGCCCATCGTCTACCCCACGCATCGCCAAACCCGGCGGTCGTAGACCAAAAGCGCGCATCACATCTTTTCTGCCAATCATCCTCGCTAGCTGTAGTGATGATACACCATCTTTTTCGGGCGCATGCCGGTCTGCGCCTTTCTCGAGTAGCAAGCGCACGACTTCAGTGTAGTGCTCTCGCACGGCGTGATGCAAGATGGTCTCTGCCCCCCGGATCAGACCAGCAAGTTCTACACCATATGCAAGTAGGAGCTTCACGACCTCTATTTGCTGATTCGAGATCGCCACATGGAGCACAGTGAGGCCATCTTCGGTCAGGCGATTTGGGTCTGCGCCCTTGTCAAGTAAGAGCTGAAAACCTTCCCGGTGTTCGTGACCGTTGCCGGCTCTAGCCGCGTTGTGTAACACTGTCCATCCAAAGATATCCACAGAGGTGACATCCGCGCCTCTCTCAAGTAGTAGTCGCATGATGGCAACATCGGCACGAGACGCCGCAAGATGGAGAGCATCGGACACATGGCGAGTAGCTTCATGGTCGAGTAGGAGCCGTACAGCATCGATCTCGGACCCTCGTACGGCCAGATCCAGTACAGATCGTCCTTCGGTGTCGATTGCATTTGCATCAGCACCGAATTGAAAGAGCAACTGCATGATCTCAAGTGTGTGGGTATCATCGTAGCACGAAACGGCGACATGCAGGGCAGTATATTGATCCTCGGCGCGCACAACCAAATCTGCGCCCGCTTCAAGCAGCAAGCAAACAATTTCGACGTGACCCTCGTAGATAGCAAGGTCAAGTGGAGGACTATAACCATCGGCATGCTTGTTGACATCTGCGCCGCGCTCCAGTAGTAGGCGTACGACTTCGGTGTGGCCATTGTTCGCAGCAACCCTCATGATGGTAGAGGGTCCGGGTGGCGCGCCCAAAGGGCTTCCACAGATCTTGTTGATGTCGGCCCCGTTGTTTAGAAGACATTGCACGATTTCTACGTTCCCGATCTCAGAAGCAACGAATAGAGCAGTTGAACCATTCGCGTCGAGAGCTTCTATATCACGTCCCTTTGCCGAGAGAGACTGTACTAGATCTACGTTGCCAGACTTGACTGCAAGGTGTAACGAGGTATCGCCACACGGCGAATCAGAGTCTTCGGCGTTGGCGTTGTAGGGTAGATCGAGAGGACCTCTTGGAGGGGCCGGGCCGAATATGCCAGACATAGCAAAAGGCCGATCTCGCAAGTGGGAGTGTGGACGATATTGGGTTCAGTATATAGAACTTTTGCGATACGCTGCGAGCTGGAGGCGCTGGGATACGCGCTCACAATTCCATCATGAGGGTAATGTCGCAAATTCCCCAAACGGCCGATTAGTGGCAACCGGCCATGAACAGCGGTGAACGGGTGAGCGGGCGCAAAGTGACCGGTCACGGTTAGAAAAGAATGTCCGGGCCCGGTTGGGCCTGAGCATGCCCGTCGACCCGTTCAGGCCCGCTCAGGCCTGAGCATGCCCGCACAGCGATATCGACCCGATCAGGTCTGGTCGAGCTACCTAGAAAAAAGTAAATGTAGCTAGTGGAACAGCGAAAAAAGTACTATTGTATTGCAGGACAAGTATAGTCCCGGAACCCCATTAGTCGCCTGTGAAGGCATTCAATACATGAGCTTTTTTTGTGAGTTTGTTAGTAGGTAAGTAGAAGCCACAACGAGATTTGAACCAGAGACCTTGTGAGCGAGAACAGAGTCAGTTAGCCATTGAGCCACAGAGCCATTACGTCCTTATAAACGCATCGTGTGATATGGGCTTCACGCCCCTGCCAAATACCCACGTACCGCTTCTAGCACTTCTGATCTTGATGATTTCTCGGCGCCTGCGAGCCGATACATAAGGCTCGCACTACATCATGGGTATAATTTCTCCTCTATCCAGTACCACGACTATGAATCATCGGATGTCTCTGAACCTACCCCGCGACGAGGCTGCACGCGGCGGCGCGGCTCACCCCGCTCGCGATTTCCATCATCATCGTCTGAATCCTCGACGCGATTGTGAGCGCGCTTCCTTCCAGTCCCGCTTCTACCTGTATCGCGACTCCTGCTGCGTCGCTCACCGCTCTGCGCCGTGCGGTTGCCGATATCGCCACCGCTCGACCCACGAGTTGAACGCCGCTCGTCGTCACGATTGTCGCGGTGACGTTCGCGTTGGTCATCGCGGGAACTGCGTTCTCGACGCTCGTCTCGGGATGAGGGCGCCTCGCGGCCGCTGTGACCTTGCGGGCTGTGATTGGGCGACGGGCCTTGACTCTCGCGCGGCGGGCTCTGAATCGCGCGCGACGGGGTTGCGCGCGATGGGCTCAAATCGCGGGATGGGCTCGCACTCTCGCGTTCATTGGCCTGTGCGGCAGCCATCTGTTCACGGGCCTTCTGCATCATGACCGCGTTCGTGTTCACGGGCGCCTCTGGCTCCGGCCCTCCCAGGCTCTGGTCAGCCGTCGCGGCGAAAATGATCTTGTCCCACGTCCGGAATATGTTCTTGTAAACTTCGAGGCCGCTCGCGAGGCCGTCTTCGAGGTTCTGCTGGAACTGGTTATGCCATTCTAACCAATCAATAGCTGTGCCATTCTTTTGTTTTTGCACGCAGTTGGAGTCCTCTGACATGGCCCAACAAGCCTTCAACAATGTAAGTTCCACGTATAATGAAGCACATCTAGATCACTGACGAGTGTGCATGCAACAGCAATTCCGCCGGGTGTCGTGTACTTGATTCCCAAGGTCTTGCCGCTATACTCGCCGGGTGCTGCGATTGCCGCACCGTGAGTATTGTATGCCCTGACAGCCGAAGGGCCCAAGACGATCGCGATGTAGGTCTGGATCGGTGAGTCCCACATTTGCCTTACGAGCGTGACAAGTTGCTGACCTTGATCACGCATTCTCCCAGGAATGCCGTATGAATATCGAAACCGTTAGGTGCACGATTGCCCTTGTGGATAAGAGGTGCGGCGAGTGCGGCGTATCCAGCTTTTCCTGTGCCCCATCCATCTTCGCTCCAACCGATGAGCTTCTTCTGACTACGACGCAGTTCAACAGATTCGAGAAACTTGTAAAGGTCGCCCCAGATACTCGCAGTTGCACGGACACGTCGGGCGATACTTGATCTGTGGTCACCGAAGTGGAAATTGAACTGACGGACGGTTAGTTCGGTTTCAATCTTTGTAACACACTGTAACTCACAGTTGACCAGAATATCGCCGACTTGCGCTCTTCGTCGGCAATATCCATGGCCTTGACGATGTCCTCGACGTCTCGAAGCTGGCCCTGCAGGACACCCTCGCTATTGATGAACCGATTGGCGGGGCTCAAGTCGTAGTCGCGCTTGCGCTCGATTTTCGTGGAGAAACCAGTAGCGAGGAACAGGGTGCAGCGTAACAGGAACTTCTGGGCAGCGTGTTTTCCCTGCACGCGGAGCTCTGCTGCCGCATCTTCGCCGATATCCTCCTCGGGTTCGGGAGGTGCTGCGCGTTCCTTGCGCGACCGGCCCTTGCGACGGCCGCGCTGTGCCTTAAGGTGCGCGTTCTCTTTTCTGACCTCAGCCAGTTGATCCTCAAGTTTGTCATAGTTCTTCTCGAGTTGCCGTCCATTCTGGTGGTATGTCAGCTATTATAGATGTTTAATGCAAGAAGTCATGCACCTGCACGAGCTCTTCGCGCCCCATGTTTGCGCCGAATCCATCGTTACCGGCCGGAGTCGGTGAGCGCGAGCGCGAGTGTGAACGAGAATGGGATCTTCGCCTGGCTGTTGAACTGGGCATAACGACAGATAGAAGGTACAGTGAGGGCAGAACACGCAGAAGGTGATGGTTGGTCGGGATAAACCGCGCCGCTGCGTCACATATTTCTGTAGCTTGCTGCTCGCATCGCGACGTCATTGACCGGGCGCGATCACGTTCCTTGCGCCAACGCGTCTGGTTACCCGTCTCGCCAGCTTCGGCATGTTGACTCGACCACTACTATCCCATTGGACTGATTGGCATGCCGCGCAAGCTCGTTCCAGCATCACAGTACAGGTTCTGCAAATGGTGCCAAAGCGAACGGCGGCCTCAAGGCTTCGATCGCCACATAAAGAGCTGCAGGCGAGCGTACGAAGAAGCCTTAGAGTTGCAAATGTTGCGAGGGGCTGCTGAACCGTCTGGATCTGGTCATGGTAATGCACGTGTCTTTCACGATGCAACTGAGGTACGTATATTCACCTCGTGCTCCTTCTAACCTGCTCTGAACATCAAGAACGAGTAGCCACCGGGGCCAATATATCCGCGCGAGGACCCAGAGCCCATGCTGTTGGACGATGTCTCGAACGAACAATATGATGACAGCTATGGTGAGTAATCACTATGCGCTTTCGCTTGCTATGCCTGATGATCCCGAAGGTGTCCAATTCGGTCCACACATTCCCGAGTATTATATACTTCTTCGCCCACACCCTCACGCGGCAGGGAAAACACGCCCACTGACCGCCCGTGAACTCGACGACTTGAAGGTCATCATACCTCTCGACGACTCAGGCTCGTTGCCGGCACCATCGCCCTCTCCTGACGCATTTGCGCTTCGGTCCGAAACTGTGCCATGGGCTCCTTTCCCGACCGAACAGGACTTTGAGTGGTTCGAAGTACACTGTGACATGCCTGCGTCAAAGATGAAGAAGGATCTCGACGGCATGCACTCAGGAAAGTGGGCTGACAGATGCAAGATCACGTTTCGCACTCCGAAAGATGTTCAGTTTCAGGCCGACCTCGTCCGCGCTACTGCCATCCCTGTACGTGACTGCATCACAACTTCTGCGACGAGTTGCTGATCATGACTGTGCAGTACACACCAGATACGATTACCGAGACCTTCCAGGGCACGCCATACACCGTTGACTTCGAGTATCGCGATCCATGGGCGTATGTGCGCTCGGTGGCGAAGAATCAGGCGATCACGCATCTTGTGCATTGGCACTCGACGTCGAAGGTTCTCGTAGATCGCATTAATGATACTGTAGATCCTCTTTTCGACGAACCGGAGACCGGTTCCGCCTGGGCAAAGATAGAGGTATGGGTTTGTAACAAGGTCTTCATGGCACCTTTCTGACGAATCGGCCACAGGACCAACTCCCCCATGCGGATCCGTACCCGCATTGCCTCTTCCCACTTCTGTTCTGGCTCGATAAGGGGCTCGTTTCCAAGCACGTCAAGATGCATCCCATGATCATTCGGCCGCTCAGTGTGCACTCGAGTGTCCGTAATGGCTCAGGTAATGGTGGCGCATTCGTCCTCGGGATGATGGAAGACGTGAGTTATACTTGCTGGTCTTATAAATGTCACTTATGAAGCGAGTCCTGCAGATTCCAGATCCACCGGGCTTGAAAGACTGGCCAAAAACGGACCAGAAGGCGTGGGCTCGCTTCAAACGTAGGCTCTATCAGAAGGTTCTCGGCAGGATCTGGGATACGTGCCGGAAGAAAGCAAAGAACGGTGGTGCTGTCGAGTGCAGTGACCTGGTTACCCGTTCTCTCCATCCGGCCGTGCACGTCCTATCGCTTGATGCCGAAGAGGCAGGTCATTGCAATTGTACGCGTGGCCCCAAAGCGAACTACCCTTGTCCCAAGTGCTTGGTGTACAAGAAGCACCTCGCCGATATAACATCTCGCACCCACCCACCTCGGACCAAGGAAGGTATGCAGCGCATTCTGAAGCGCGCTCGAGAGGCCGGCACACTCGGCGAAGCTGAGAAACTGCTCAAAAAGCACGGCATATATGATGTTGATGTACGCCTTCGCCATTATCTCATAGAGCACTTCGGACAGTAGCTGATCGTTGCACGCAGCAATTTCTCTTCGACTTTGCTTTCTCCGATCCATACAAGGCATACGCGTACGACATCCTGCACTCGGACGATGAAGGGAAATGGGGGAAGCACCTGTTCGAGTTTATCAAGAAGGTCCTGGAGCACCATGGAGTTCTAGGTGCATACACCGATAAGTTCGTGGCGGTCAATCCCGGCATGCATTGAGTCGTTACTGAATGTGCCCCAGCATGCGCTCGTTACCGCGTTGGGCGAGGCTACGTCACTTCAACGATGTCACAAAGAAGGATGCCGTTTATGATGGAAACCAGTTCATGGATATCTTGCGAGTACGTACTCTTTTTGACATGCAGTCGGTGATCTTCGTGATGAGTCTGACGATCCTGCCGCCAGACTACCCTGCCTTGTATCGCCAACTTGCTACCGGCAGACGACGATCTTGTGCATGATACACGTGCATATCAACGTGTCCGTATGACACTCGGCCTTCGTCTTATGTCTGGCAAGCGAAAAAAGGCTCTACAGGACTTTATTGCCGAGTACGAGCGTACCAGCAAGGTGATTCTCCGATGCTATGAACCTGCAAGACTGCATCTGACTTTGGCATGCTTAGATTGTTGCAGCGAAGACCGACGACGACGAGATCCACAAGAACTTCGACTTCCTGAAACAACATCTGACGGCACATGCTCCAGACGACATCGAGATGTTTGGTGCAGCATACAACCTGTCAACGCGGCCGCAGGAAGGCATGCACCAGGAAATGGCAAGTGCCTGGGAACAAACTAACTATCGCGATGCGGAAGCTCAGGTTCGTCGCGAGTCGTCTTTGCCTGGACGGTCACTGATTCGTACCTCTCTGACACTATGTTCCATACAGGTTCGTCGTATTGATCAGCTCAACGAAGCCATCGCCGGCATACGCATCAATATCAACCTCCACGATCGCGCCCGCCGTGATCAGGAGGCTCTTGATGCCGAATCGGAAGGTATCGAACAAGCATCGGCTGTAGACCCTCTACCGACGCACTCGGAGGACGATACGCCAACCAGTGCAACACCTCGTCACTGGCGGTATGGCGCAGCTGAGTCATCAATGTCCGGTTCCATTCAGTACGGAATGGACACGCATGACGACGACTTCCATACAAAGCTGCATGGCTTTCTTTCGAGCAACTTCGCGGAACCGTATGCCGGCCACGTTGCTTCGTCTATTCTAGTGGGTTTGCAGAATATTCGTGCTTCGCCTCCGCACTCATGATTACCTCTCAAGATGCGTGCCTACCACCGGCTTGACCTCGAGTATCGTTCTATGGACGACTTCACGGCGGCACGCGATATCTTGCGCTGCAACAAGTCGTTCTACCGTGCTCCGCGGTATGACAGCGCCATACTCAACGACGACTCGCCCGACATGACCTTGGTGCGAATTCACGGCTTATTTCGCTGCCAGCTCAACTGTAGCACATGGGAGGACGTCGTGTATGTGTCCTACTTTCGCCCAACGACATACAAACCGGCGACGATGTGGGATGGTTGTATCATTCGCCAGGAGGAAGTTGAGCGAGTATTCATCCTGCCCCGCTATCTCGTTCGTGGTGCTCATATGATACCCGCATTTAATGCTCCCGCATCTCGTCCTCAGCACTTCTATCTGGATGATTGTATTGACAACGATATGTTTGTACGTACTACGCCTCAGCTACAGTTACTCCCACCCTAATACTATGTGACATTTGTATCGGCTCTCGACGGGCCTGATGGGCTCTCAAAGCTGTGTGAGCGGGACTGATTCAGAGCTGATCGGGTCCACCAATACGCCTGGTTGGGCCGTGGTCGGGCGTGAACAGGCCTGGACGGGTGAACGGGCGTCAACCGGCCCGGTCACCGGGCCAGGGGTTTTGCGACAAAAGACGGAGGGAAAAAACGGACTTATGCGGAGCGCGGAAGTCCGGGCGGCCGCGCCACGGCCGCCCGCACGTGTGTCGCGTCTTTCTCAGCGCGTTGCGAGCGCGCCGGGTCCTTGCCTCGGACGGCCATGAGCTCTTTCAGCCATGTCAGTCTCCTTTCGACTTTTGAACAGGCGAATTCGCTGAACCAGTGAGTTATACATCTGCAATGTGTATTGGAGGTGAACTGACCCGACTTAGGTTACAGGGTTCCTCGTCTGACCCATCATTGCTGTGGTGCAGGTTACCGATTGAACTTGTCCAAGAGATATTGTTGATCGCTGCTTCTGAGAGTCTGCGTACTGCTCTGCGATTCTGCTTGGTTGCACACTCTGTGAGGCGAATAGTCCTACCCCTACTCTACCGGTATGTGTTGAAGATAGTCTAATCTTAACAATTTCTCATCTCCTTTCTTCCACGCCAGATCCGTACACCTCTATCGCGAGCAACACGTATCCTCTTTTGCTCTCGCATTTACCTCTCGAAAGCCCTCTCTGGTCCCTCTACCTTCTCGGATTACCCTCCGACAGCCGCCGTTCGCACCCGTGCGCGCGCTTGCGCTGTCTATCCCACATGCACTGCCTTCGCTTGAGAGCGCGCTTGCTGGAGCAGCTGCGGCCGGCGCCTTCGATAGAGTTCAATACCTCGCCATCTCCGCTCCTCTCTTAGGCGCGCATGCCTTCTGGTTGCGGAGCAGGCAAATTGCGCCGACCACAATCATGCTCTTTCACACTGGACGTCCTCAACCTGTGGACTTCACCCTTCCTATCTTCCAACGCGTGCATACCCTCTATACCAGCACATTGGATGGTCGCCGTCGACTCTCGATATCCAGTCCAGATCAAGATCACCTGGCGCTTACCACGCTTCCCGCTTTGCGCCGCCTGGCGATGACAACGCGCGCGGAGCGTAGTGCTGCCGAAATAACGCTCTTCTGCGTCAACGTCCGGAGAGTGTTGCAGAAGCTCCCACAACTCGAGCTAGTTGTTGTGCGCCTATTGCACACTACGCACAACGCTCTCGCCCGGTGGGGCATGCCCCTAGCGACACTGGCTCGCGAAGGCGGCGCCCGGCTGAAGGTGGTTGGGTTTGCACCGACCGCGCGCGTCGAGTGGGATGCGTTCACGTCACCATACGCCGCCTCCGCCCTCACGGCTGGCATGTCTCCCTGGGAGACATCAACTGTCTATGACACCCCGTGGCCTGCGCCGAGACACTACGACGATTGGCCGGCTTTCACGGCACATGGTGGCCGGGGCCTTCGACGCGCGGAGGATATGAAGCGGACGCGCGGTGGCAACATCGTCCAACCACAGCCTGTTGGACCGCAGTGGGATCTCGACCTGTTTGGAGACCCGAAGGTGCTTGCGCGGCCCGTGTCACCCACGCACTATCCCGGCGTGTGGCCTATGCATGACGACGACGCGCCACCTGCACCTGGGCCAGCGTGGGTTGGAGGCGGAGGCCCTTGGATCGGCGAGGGCTGAGTCGTAGCGCGGAGATCTTGAGCTTTCAATCTGGGGCTTGAAGATGATTTATTGGGAAGGCGAATATCTATGGGGATACACAATTGGATTCGCGACGCCAGGCGGCACGCTACGCTGATGCCAGCTCGTAACCGACACCTGCGCCGAGCACATACTCTCAATGTGGATGGACAAGCGGCGCAGGATGCTGCATCTGCCCCAGCGCGGAGCCTGGACTCCATACTTTCGAAAGACCATGAGCGTCATGCCAGAATCCGAACAGTTTGCGCCGGGGAAGGGCGTTGGGCACGATGAGCCGGGCAGAGACCCTGTGCATCGCGTTGCGTACGTCTACGTGCACGTACCAGCACCGACAACATGTACACTATGTGGATACCATTCAACCCTGAATAAACATTCTTTTGTTGTATGCATCGCGTACCTCGAGGGGTCGCTCGCGTTGGCCTCGTAGATTGGAAAACAGGCGGGGAATATACCAGTCCAGCCTCTCGAGTGTGTGTTGGTGCCCGTGTTTACAAACGCCTCGGAGTATGCGATGACTGAATACGCACCTTCCGTTGTAGACTTAAAATATCGCTACGTCGGTCAGTATGTCATACCTTAGTTTACAAGGGACGGATATGTGTTAGCCCCCTCAGCGTTAAAGAGCAGCAGAAGATGCACAGTGACTCGATGACGTCACGCGTCCCTTTTTTTTCGCGCGCATTGCGCGACAGACACGTCGACCTGTTTATTCTCAACCGCCATATACTCTGACTTATTTGCGCATTGCGCATCTGGTCCTGCGTCCCGAACCTCGATATCATTGCTTATGAAAGCTTTTGGAAGAGCGCTTTTGCCGAGGGAAGTCTGAACCCGCCCAGAGCTCGACGACATCTTGTTTTGCCCCAATCTTGCAAGGCTTACGTTCAACGACATGTACTTGGACTGCCTTTGCGAAGGCTACGATACGCTCACATACCGAATTGCGAGCATGCTTAAGGTTCGGCGCTCGATGCCGTGCGGAGCGCCCATATTGATCATGAAGAGATGCGACGCGGCTACACAAAGGCATCATGTCGACTTGCGGCGCAAGTTATAAGTTTGCCGAAGTCCAGTGGGATGGATACGACGGTTATGTCGAATATGACCCCGACTCCTTCGATCGGAGGAGGAAGAGGGCGAGGAGAGCGAAGGTGCGCAGTAGGCGTGGTGTCGGATGGGCGTCGATGGGCGTGAGAGTGGTTCGCTTTGTACGTAGTGGTCCTGATTATATAGAGTTGTACCTTCTCGCGGTCTGCGAGCGCTGCCACGCGTTGCCCCTACAACCACGCGTCGTGTCGCGTTCGCGCGGGGCAACTTGGTCTCAACTGCGATCAGACCCGACCATTCACTTTGCACTCAGCACTACTCTCCTCTTCGACGGAGTCTGTCTGAGCCATGAGCCTGCGCCCATCCTCTCCGGATCGACTCCCTATGGCAGTCGAAGCAGACGCCTTGACGCTGTTGCGCTTAGAACATGACGCGCAACGCGAACAACTCGCGTCTGAAGCTGAGGTTCGGCGCTTGCGAGATGATAATGCGATTCTGGCTCAGCAGCTGCGCGACGAGCGCGTACATCACGATACTCAGATGATTCGCATTCGCGAAGACCACGCACTGGAGCTGAAGACGATACGTGAAGGTGAGTTTCAGGCCTATGTGAATGAAACATTCACCCATCCTGATCATCATGTAGAAACGGACGACTTGCTTCTTGAAGCGGCAGACCGCATTGAGGAAGCTGAAGCGCAGACGGTTCCGACGCACCCTGGACCGGACGTGGTGTCGTATGACATACCGCGACTAGAAGAGGACCTGCGAAAGGCGCAGGTGAAAGTATGTTGATAAACGTGCCCTTTATCTTACCTTGCTATGGTGACTGATGCATGCTTGATTAGATTGCATCGCTTCAGGAAGCTTTGGTGTCTACGAGACGTGATCTCAAGATAAAGTCAAACGAGCTATTTGATGCGGCGAAGGCCGTCAGGGTGTCTAAAGAACTCGGAGAGTTGTATCGCTCTAAAGCGGCGAGACTCGAAGAACGGGCTCGTCAAGGCTCTCAGCGCAGGTACCGGGATGTGCCGATCCAGTGTAACGAAACAGACGCCATTCTCGACGTGAGTACGCTTTATACGCTTGGGCACTAGCGGCACCAGCTTATACTGGTTCGCAGACGCAGTCGATGATTCCACCGATCGCGACACGTACGTTCCTCATCCGTCGTCGAATGTCTTTCTCTAGCTGACTTCGGTAGTTGAATCGGATCGAGGAGCCAGCACGCTCAACTCTCAAGATGTCAGATCCGCGGAGAACTCAGAAGGTCAAAGGGCCACTGGAAGCGTTCATATATCGGAAGGGTTAAGACGATCAACACGTCGACTCGCGCAAACTCCAGTCAAGTCTGATAGCGACTCGAAGCAAACGGTACGGTGCCTCATCTCAGGCGCGCTTGCTTCTTCACTCACGATGGCAATGAAGAGCGCGAAACGTCGAGCACGAGAAGACCCCGGAACCCCCGCTCCAAAGCGCGCACGAACCAGTTCGTCATCTCTTGAGACGTCTTCGAGATCCCGTCTCCTGATGCAACCTTACAGGCAAAACAAATGACGTAGACCATAGCGAAACCCATGTACTACGAGAGTCTATTCCCTCATCCCTGACTGAGCGGATAGCTGGTTTAGGCACCATTCCCTTGACCATTCCGGCTAGCTACCTCCCGAGTGAGCACTCACCAGTGGGATGGGTGAAGCGCAAGATGATTGGGGAGAACTACGCAGTTGCCCGGCAAGCATTCACAGGGTATCTGAAACATCTTCCCGGTACTAAGGAGCCGCGGCGCGCGATATTTGCCAATACGCAGCAGAATCCTGGTCTGCCTACCTTTCCAGGTCAGCCCGGGACGATGATCGTGAGCCGCGGAGACATTCTCAAGATCACGGAGCCTACAAGTCTCTTCATCTCTGCTGTCGGTCAACCTTGGTGGCTCTATGTCGGAGACTTTATGCTCAACATCGATCAACCACTAGCTATCGCAGAATGGAAATCTTTGCCGGAGAAGGTGAGGCTATCTTCTATCGCACAATGTATACTTGTCGTTTACGCTCTCGTATCCCACAGACACGTTCAAGCTGGGCCACTGCGCTTTGCGACTATGGGCAATCGTGGGAAGATTATCTAAAAATCATGGTCCGAATCGCACGTAGGCGTAACGGAGAAACAGTGGAAGATGGAGATGTCATGAGTGATGTGCGTTTACTGAAGAGCCTCAAAGAGTCCAAACCTCCTTCTAGGCTACTTTTACAAAAGCACGACGTGCTCCAAGCGCTGGATCGTGGAGATGAGGTAAGTCTGCGGCGTTCGTTCAGGTAGATCGTGAACTGATTGCCTTAGACTATTGATGTCGTGGTTCTGCAACCCCACTCCGTCGACGAGGATCTCTATTGCGAGCTATGGGACATCCAGACTGGGAAGGTGACCCGGAATCCTCGACGACCGTAGGCCTGAGATGCGGGTGTATCGCAGCGACAAACAGCCTGGCATTGGGTCGCGGCTGCTTTCTTATAAGCTAATCTTGATTAATATACACGCACTTATTGGGTTACCTAAGCACACTAATTGACGAACACTCTTGCTATTCACTACGAATGTCGTTATTCACCGACGGTTGTACTTGGACTCTCGGAGTGAGTGCGTGGTCTGAAGAAAGAACATCAACGAGGACTTGCATTTCAGCTGTACAGTACATATCCCAGATCAGAAGTATGCCATGATATCTACTGTAGGATATGTTGACGACCACGGACCGCAGTTCCGAAGGCACACGCAAGGACCCATAACGCGATCGGATCAGGTGGGCAATCGGCACCTGATTCTAGCCGATTGTCTGTGAGGTTTCACACGTTTTCCGGCCCGATTCTTTTGCAAGGCCTTACAGGTAGCCCGCTTCTTCGCGGGTTCGCGAACTTTTCAACAACCCCGGCGGCTCACAGCGCTAACACTGGAAGTGAATGGCTGTCGGATCGCGGCGAGATGCTGAAAGGACATGGATATTTTGATAAATGGAACCAAGGTGTTATCGTTCAGTATATGTAG